GTCTGTTATGGCAGCCCAAGGAAACTGATGCATACGGCAAAGGGGAATCAGGTAGTAGATAGACTTGAGATTGATTATCAGATGATCTTAAAATAGGGAGAGTATCTCGGACTATGTGGCTCAATTATTTGGCTCAATGTTATCATAAGGGTCCTTTAAACAGAAAGAGGGAGTCAGAAAAAACGAGCCAGAGAGATGGTAGTGTGGTGTTTCAGTTACGTTTTCCACTGCTGTGACTAAGTGACCTGACCAGAAAAATTATAGGGGAGGAAAAGTTTACATGAGGACTCATGGTTTCAGAATCTCAGTTCATAGACAGCCGGCTCCATTCACTGGGGCTTGAGGTGAGACAGGGAGACTATGATAGAGGGATGTGGCTTACATGTGATCAGGAAGCAGAAAGAAACTCTCCACCCACCAGATACAATATACATACCCCAAGGGATGCCTCTAATGACCCACCTTCTCCAGGCACACAATACCTGCCTCCAGTTACCACACATTAATCCCATTGATTCACTGACTGGGTTGAGGCTCTTGTACCCAATCATTTCTCCCCTAAGCCGTGCATTGTCTCATGCATGCACTTTTCAGGGAGACCTCACATCCAAACCTTTACATATAGGAAGCACACAGACCAATGGTTATTGGCTCTTAAGACACATCCAGGTACACAGGACACTTCTAGAAAATGGGCAAAAGAGTAGAACCAACCTGAGAGCTTCCAGAAGGAAGGCAGTCTAGTCATCTTTTGAACATAGGCAAACTTTCTTCTAGAAACCATATGCACAGAAGTTTAGTATCTGTGTCTCCAAACTCCTCTATGTGAATTCTTACAGATTTGTGGTATTACCTGTTTCTCTCCTTGGCTGCAACGATGTGACCTAATCTCCTTATCCACCTAATTACTTTGGATTAAATGCTCGACATGGATATGAAAAGTGTTCAAAATCACTTGAGGCCCAGAAGGATGGTTTCCTCATTCAGGAAGAACTTACATTTGCTTTTAGCAGACCTCTCTGGTATTAAAAATGGGAATTACTTTCATTGCATTTGCAAACTTGAGATGATTTCAAGCTGGGCTGCAGTTTCTCCTTGAGCTGATATAGTTAGGATTTCCCTAACTCCAAGCGTGTAGCTCTTCTGGATTGCAGATCAAAATCTGTGGCATTTGTGTCATTCAACTCTGCTGGGTAGGCCCTGCATTCCAATTTTATCCAACCATTCTTCTAGAATAGGAAAGCTCTGTTCATCTTCACAAACGTTCAGCTACCTCTTTAGCCCTTATCAGACACCACTAGAACAAAACCGTACTCAGAGATCAGATTTCCCAGTTCAAGTATCATTCTGATCTGGATCTTGCATCTATAGTTTTCACTGCCTTATTTGTTTACCAACGACATCCACAATATTTTTTATGCCTTCTAGTGTCTGTTCCCAGTATCCCCCACTAATATTCATATGTTGAAGCTTTAATCTGTAATATCTAAGGATATGACTATATTCAGATATAAGGTTTTTAAAGAAGTAATTAAGTTAAAATAAGTTAATGGGAGGGGCCCTAATTTAACATGACTGCTATCCATGTAAGAAGAAATTTGGTCTCTCTCTCTCTCTCT